TTGAAGACTTACCAGAATCCATTCTACCACCCAACAAGCTAGTACAAATATTCAAGATTGCCATTAATTTCTGTAAGAATGAAGTGATGGCTGACAACTGAACACTGACTTTTGTAGGGCTGGACATACTGACCTTAATTTTAAATGAATTCAAGTCTCAAAATAATTGTGCAGCATTAACTTAAGACACAAATAAACAGTCAAAGGGTAATTAAAGAATAACTTTACCACTCATGCACAAATCACACCAGCCAATGCTCTACCTCGTTCATCTGAAGTACAGCAGTGTTTTTACAATATCCAACTGTGACAAAGTCTTCAAAAGGCAACTATTTATCATTTATCTATTAGTAACACCCAACTGAAAAAAGCCTCTAATACTCTAAACTACCAGTACCTATTTATTTTTTTAACAGGAAAGGGATCACAAAGAACTGAGTTGAATTAACATAAAAAGAATGTGAAGGGCAAAGTTTTGATTCAGATGTCTTTAGCACATATTAAACCAAAACTGACATTAAGACATGCTACGAAAGGTTCTCTGAAACTGCTCTGAGGTCTGGCAATCACCCTTGTTAGTACTGTAACGACTAAACTTAATGCTGGGTGAAAAAAAGAATAGAAATTAGAAATAAGAAGGTACCCTGGAGAGTATATGTAAAGAAGAAAGTGGGGTTTTTTGTTGGATAAAAAGTTACTGATCTGAAAGCCTTGAGATTGAATGTACCTCTTATCTCCAGCAATCTAAATTGTGAGTGTTCCTTAGGAGATTAAATACCACTGAACATTTTTCATCCTCTCCAAGGAGCAAGAGGCATTTCTTTTTACCTTGCTCAAATGTGTTATCCTTAACATCTAAGCAGAAGTCAACCATCCTACTTTCATTTCTGTGAAGCATTAAATACACAGAACACACACACAATTTGGTAAACTTGAGATTTGCAGTTGTAAAGAAAAACAACAGATAACACAAATCTATTTTATTTCTGAATACCTGAAGTGTATTGGTAAGTACTGCCATCTGCTTAAGCAATGTCAGATGCAAGAGCACCCAGGAATAACAGTTTAAAGTTTGATATTGTTACCACTTATATGAATTGGTGCATTCTGTTTATGAAACAGAGAACTAAGTGGAGAGTCAGAAAAACACCACCTGTACTGGGCTGGATGCAAAAACTATCTGTTGAATACCTGTATGACATTTGAACTGCTACTGAAGCCTCAAAGAATGGTCACCTAAACATCTACACACTGTCAGGCAGCCAAACTCTGAAGGCAATTTTTGATTATTAGTTATCCCAACTTCTGTGTCACTGTGTCACAGCAGAAAATGTTAGCAGCACTTAGACTCAACCAGGCATAGTGGGCTTCACCATGAATCACTGAAGATGCAACATCCAGGATTACAATGCCTACAAGCAATTTGGAGCAGTGATTCAAGCATGAGATAGTAACACACCCCTATAGTAAGAACAACTGGAACAGATTAGAAAAATGTGTTCATGCAACTTAACATATTGCACAAGGAGATAAGCAAATAGACAAGAGGTCCAAGAATTAGTAATTCCTCTATTTGACTATAAAAGAAACTGCTCACAAATATGCTTGTAATAGAATGGAAAAACAATATTTCATTGCATACTTATGAAAGTAAGGTAGTAATCCCTCTCCAGCAATGTATTGTGGAAATGGAATGAAACTATCCTGAAACTCTAAAAGCTGGTGATACAAGAAATACTAATCAGCTCATCTCCCTCCTGTGCATGCCATGTTCCCATACTTTGGGAAGCAAAAGGGCAAAATCTTGAAAAGATAGAGCTAATTAATATTAATTAATTTTTAATTAGCTCTATCTTTTCAGGCTTTCAATCAGTTGTAAATTACTGCCTAACTCCAGCTGGCATCCATAAATATTGTAAGAAAACTGAAATCAAGTATTCTTGGCTTCATCATCTTCTAGACTTCCAAAGACGGAACTATATTCTTACTATAACATTACTACTTGGACTATAATTGAGGATTTTTCCTCTTTCAGCAAATTACCTTTCAGGAAGTAGAAGGTAATCCACTACCTAGATACCAGTGGGGGAAGAAAAGTTGACATATACCTGGAACTGTCAATGAACAATTTTAAGTTCCATCACTGAGCCTTGGGGATGAGGGATGGAGGGGAACCAACCAAAATGAAAAACCAAAAAATGCAAACGCAATCAGCTGTTTTAATCTCTAAGTCCACCATAAAATGGTAAAAAGCATTCCCCATGGCAACCAAAATGCCCTTCCCAAAACTTTTATGCTAATCAAGTGTCATATAGCTTTAGTCAGCATTGTGGAAAGGTTTGTGTTTGTTTAGTTTTGGAAGAACTGGGATTTTTTTTCTTCTTCATATAGAATCTTATATTTGACACTTCTTCATTTTACAAGTGACTTAAACAGCAACCTTGAACAGGGAGAAGTCTTTTAGGCAATTTCCACAAATGAGCTGCTGTCCTGACAAAGTACTCTAACAAAATATTTAAATAGCAAAGAGCCTCATCTTCTGAAATACCAGATAATTAAAAGCAGAACATGGATTTTAGCTGTAAATTGAAAAAACACCCAAAACAAACAAAACAAAAACCCATAAACCAATCTTTAATGACACTAACTGACTGTCTCAAGTGACTGATATGTCCTATGAATCCTAGTGGTTGGAATGCTGGCTGAACTCACTGACTGCCAGCAAGTTCACATTACACTGGTAGCAAATGGAACAGAGAATCTTTTGAGGCACATTGTCTCACTTCTTAGATGTGGACTCCAGGTACTTCAATGCTAAGACTGGATCTGATGACTGCCAGTGAAGATCTACCTCAGAGCCAGTGATCTCAACATCCCTCAGTAAAATGACTCGAACCATTTAAAGACAGGAATTTCTCTAGGAGAAGCAATGGAAGCCACTTACATTGTGGACAAATTTAAATGGCAAGAAATGCAAGTGGCTAATAATAAAAATTAAACTCAATTAACTTAGCATTAGTTTGTCCTCCAAAGTACTCATCACTTCTGACTGTATTAATTTAAGTTTTCTATTCTCTAACACTTATTAAGAAGCAGCTATAAAATTACAGGACAGCTGGTGACACATGGAGTGTTGAGAGTTGTCTGTACTCCAAAGGTTTGCCATTTTGAAGCCAAAATCTATCAGTATAATAATCTTATCTGATTTGTTTGTACAGCATGAATAAATATTTTTTTCCAGAAAATAGTTAATTTTTTTTTTTAAAAAGATACTTAGCACTTTAACTCACAGCCAATAAAGAGTTCAATACCTCCTCTATTTCAATTTTAGTTATACTTACTACAAAAAACTGAATTTGTCTGCTTTGGCTTCTCAGTATTTGAGTTTGTCCGATTTTGATACCATAATTAAGAAGTGCTGCCTTTCCACTAGTACCAGCTTTTTCTCCATGTGTAAATGTTTACTCTCCAGTACCAAAATGCCACTTCATCTTTTTTGATAATGATAGAGACAGAGTTACTCAAACCTCACACCTACTATCCAGCCCCAGATCTTATTTTAAACTCAATTATTGCTATAGCCTTCTCAAGTGCACCAAGATTTTTCTGGTAGTAGTCTTCATGTTGTTTGAGGGAGGCACAGGAAGTTCCCTACTTGCATAAAGTAATTGTTCCCTTTGTAGATGTTCAAGTACTTCATCAGGCTTAAACTACAGCTCTTGAGGGCTCAGCATTGAGGTGGTTCTTGGGCACAAGTCTTTTTTCATCACTGCTTTTTGCTGTCTGCCATGTACAGAGAGTACAATCTTTGTTCAAAGAGACCACTGCTACCTTGCAATTACTTTATTTTGAAGCTACAGCTGGTCAATCTGACGATTCAGAGAATAATGGAACAATATTATGTTCTTATTATTTTCTATTCCACTAATTTTTTCTTCTCCCAACTTTATCAAACAGATGATTTGTCCCATGATTTTCTGCATAGATGGCCTACAATCAGTCTCTGTTAGACAAAAAATCTCTGGATTATTTCTGTTCTCTTAAGAACTTAACCAGTGTACCAGGACATTTAAAGTACTTGCACGTGCAAGGTCTCCGCCTCATTTTATAACCCTTCTCTTTCAACCATGTCACTAACCACAGCAAATCTGTTAAAATCACCACCACTTCTTGATGAGAGAACTAACACATTGGGTATGTACAGTGGAACCTAAACAGAAAATGATAGAAAAGACACATATCACTTGATTTCAGTTAGCTACAGGTTTTGAAGGCTCCTTACTAGAAAAAATGTAGGCAGTCTGTGAAATAATTCTTTCACACAGTACATCACATACATATTGGTAAGAAGCGAGCCCCTAATCACAAGTCCCTGGCAGTGGCACCTGCTACTGAGGCAATTAGAACACCCCTGTGGAAGATCTGAGACTGTTAAGTCATCACTAGGTAAATTGCTTCTGTTGACTAGAGCAGGAGACATTTCTTTGGAAACTCAGAAGAAATTCCTGCTCAGTATTAATATTTTCAAACTGAATAAAAGGCACTGTTGCTTAAGCCATATATTTCTTGTCTCCAATTGTTTAAAAAAAATAGGAAGTTTTTGAACACCTAGCTACTGCTACCCTAAGAAGGCTTCCTTGTTACCTCACAGTAATTTCATCTCTCCCTAAAAAAGCTTCACAAAAATTGCTTTTATCTGAAGCATGTCATCTCACCTTTATATCTATCTTTATATCTAAAATTATGAGTTAGTATAACAGTATGCATTATAAAATTATAACATTTACTTCAGACATCTCTGAACAGCTAAATCTTCAAACTATACAAAAATAAAGTGTATGAAATTTTACAAAAGGAGGACATTAAGACAACAATAGCTAATTCAAAAAATATAATAACTTATACACAGCAGTGAGCATAAGCAATGTAGCCTACGACAGCTTCCAATAAACAGGACCTCTGAAACATGTCTGAAAGAAGCATCAGCTAGAATTGGAACATTCCCAAGCACAATAATGTTTCCAATTTATTATCTTTACCACAGTACAAACTTTCACAATCCAAATGTCCATTTTCTGTCAAACTGTAAACAAAAGCTACTATTCCCCCTCCTCATTTTGAGAGGTGATTTTTTTCAGTCTTCAGTCAAGTTTCACAACCATCTTGCATAAGGAATCAAGAGCCTGTTCTCTTGGTAATTTTCTTTTTTCTTTTTCTTTTTTTTTCTTTTTTCTTTTTTTTTTTTTTGTTTTGTTTCTCATACAGCCTGCAGTGAATTAAAATCACAGTGAAAGTCCTGGGAAAAAAATGATCTTTACAGCAGGACTTGAACCATTCTAATAATAAATGCATCTAACAAAGCTTCCCATAATAAAAGCATGACATTTCCATTTCCAGAAATCAAGTCAATTAGAAATGCTAAATTCTACTTAAAAACTCCAAAAGATCTAAAAGTGAAAAGATTCATCTTCTCAGTCAAATACAAGTCTTTCAGTTTCACTTGCAGAGACTGTTCCAGTCTGTAAAACAGTAGTGCAATTCATTTAGTTCTACTTCTTTTATTTTTGTTAAAGTCCAGTAAATAAATGTCCTATTTCTATGGAAAGATAGGAAGATGCTCCAGTAAACAAGAAACTTTGGCAAGCCCAGGAAGGCTTACTAGTCCATTAAAGCTTAGGAGTCCGAAGTGGCTTACAAATGGTTTATGAATACACTTAAAAAAGCCCAACAAATCAAATTTTAAAACAAAAACAAAACAAAACAAAAAAAAAAAAACTGAAAAAGACAGCCTAAAAAAATAAAGAAATAAATAGGCAGAAATTAATGTAAACTGTCTGAACTTTTAATGATTTCTCATTGACAGCTGGCACAACCGTTGACAGTACAGTCATTAAGTATAGGTGACCTACAGAGTATTCCATTAGGGCATCCAGTCTGGAATGCTCAAATGGAATTACATTCCTAACGATTTAAAAAATAGAGTTTTTATAATATTACTATAGGATTTTTTCTGCCCACCTCACTTACACTTCTTCTTAAAGAGGTTTTTTATTTTTGATGGCTTTTTATTTTTTTCACCATTCTGGTAGAGGTCCTGTGGGATGCTGCTTATCCTGGGGACAGAAGCAGCTTCATGGCTGGGTTTACTATCACTGCCAGTCGAAGAACATGAGGTGTGACGAGGCTTTGGGACTGGGATCCCGGTTGAAAGCTGGTTCATGCTGCAAGACTTCTCCAGGATTCCATTATAAACTTTGCTTGCAGGACTAAAGATCATGCTCTTAGTTTCTGCCATGCCTACACAGTCAGGAGAGCCCCTAGAAACATCTGCAGTTAGAGAAGAGGAGTCTCCTGTAGATGATTCCTCAAGTGAGAATTCTTCTGGTGATACTTTCTGAGGAGAAATTGTCTGGTACATCTCAAGACTTGCTGGAGGAGACTGTTTTCTTCCAATGGATGAATTTAAGGAGTCACATTCCGAACCTGTTTCCTGTACTTCCCTGAGTCAGAGCAGAGAGAAGAGAAAATATAATGAAACTACAATTTCCTTCATACAGTTAAAAAGGAAATTAATTTAGAATCAATAACATTAGTCTAAAAGCACCACCCACACTTTTCCTTAGTAGTTAATTAAACAAAAAAAATTAAGATAAACATTTAAAATTACAACTTGCATTACATCATTTTATTATCTAAACTTAAGGGAATTAGTTTGTGCAATCTTGCTTTTGTGGGCAGCAGCATCTGCCCAGAATCAGTCATTTGTATCTCACTTCAAAGAACAAAGCCTATCTTTCTGGCACGTGAAGTCAGAAAAGTTATGAAATGAAAGAAGGAGATTTAAGCCTATCATATACAAAAAGTTTCTTCAGGACAAGTGTCCCTACCTTTCAACAAGCTCATTTGCTCCTTCCAAAAGGAATTTAACCTTTTCCTATGAGGCCATGTAACAAGAGTAGGTACACGCTCAACATGCTGTAAGAATTGTGTTACCATCCATCTCCTCTTCGCCCAGTAGCTGACATTGCTTTTGATCCTAGTTTCAGATGTAAAAGCCAGTAACATATTGTAATGGAGAATCAGGGTTAGTTCAGCGCACCCTGGATTGTAACATTTCTTAACTGTATATGACATGCTAGCTATTTACATACACATACCAGACAAGAACTCTCCGCTCCACGTAGACTATATTAATTTATATTATCCTACAGATTACTTTAACTTTTGGCTTGGTTTAACCTCTAATTCTAAACTGTTAGTCTCAATAATCCTATCAAGAGTTCCAAGCTCTGTTTGCTCATCTCCGTACCATTGTTTATCAGCAGAGAAGTAAATGGCTTCCTCCTCCTCTTCAGTTCGATAGAGAGCTGGGCAGCTCGACACAGAAAGGATGTCAGGGTCAGGGGAGTGCAAAGCGTGCTGAGACTGTGGAGATGATGGCACAACACTGCGTCTTGATCTACACAAGCTACTGCTTCTTGCCAGTGTGCTGGGAGGTTTTACAATGGACCCTAAGGCAGAGAAAAAGCAAACCAAAACCCTCCAAGTGACATTGATGTTAACAGTATCTACTCTGAAGACTAAGTAGCAGATATCTGCTTCAGCTACAGTGACTTTTAAACAACCTTGACATTGCTTGACAGTTTCAGAGGAAGAAAGACTGACACACCTCACACATCCTACAGTTAGATGAAGCAGCTAATCAAGATGCAACTGCAGAGATTTTGTGCCTGCCAAATACTATCCTGACCAAGTACACCAAAGCTCTGGCTCTCTTGAGAACAAAAAGAAAGCGTCTACTGAAACTCCCAACCTTTCATAAACTAAAAATAGCAGTGCTGAAATTATTATGTTACGCAACGTCCTGTATTTTCTGTGGTGATTTGGAAGTTAGAAGAAAATGTAAAAGTTTTGCAAAGTAGGTATGACTAACCAAACAGCCAACTGATACACACTACACTAGTTGAAAAATAGGCTAGACAGACAAGACCAATTTCATTTACATAACACAATAGAAAATACATAATTCAACCTCATTTTAGGATCAAGAACTTTCTTTTAGATAACATTGTCTCTTGCCAAGCTAACTATGAATTTCTGGAAGTAAAAATACTAAGAATGGGTGGAGACAGCCACACAAGACTTCATCAGCAAAGTACCCAACAGGAAGTGATAAACTCAAATGTTCCCAATCCAATTCCTCCTTCAAAAGATTATTAGGCAGCAATATATGTCCAGAAAAAAATCTACAGACCTCTTTTCAGGCTAGTTGTTACAAAGCCTCAGGATGTTTCACACTCCTCATCAAACTGTCCCATGGAATGCATCACTGCTTATGTAAGACACACCAGACCCTTACTGGTGTTCAAAATTGTTTAACAAACGCAACACGCTAAATATCCCTTTAATTATTTTTGTAGACAAGGATGTCGAGACTGACAAAATACATTTTATTTTCTGCAATAGCAGTTTATCACTATAGAAGTTACAGTTTCCCTTCCTAGAACCTCAGAAAAGGACAAGCTGTCCACTCTCTTTTAGTACAGGAAATCACAACTTTCACTAAACAGCAAGTGACTACACCTTTGCCAACACATATATTTATTTCCACTCCTGAGCAGGAAAGGAAGTTTTGCAATTCTCAACATGAGAGTTGACATATAACTCAAACTTCTAATATTACTTTTGAGGAATTCCCTACTAACCTTAAAAACATGTTGGGAGCTCAAAAATCATCTTGTGTCATTACAAAAAAAAAATCCTCAAAGAGCAAATGTGAACTGAGATAAGAGAATAAGAATCTCTTTAGGAAATTTGTGCTACAGGTCAAGGTAAATCAGATATCACCCTCCTTACTGTATTAAAAAAACCCCGAAGATTGCACCATTGGTGAATTTTTAGAGAAGTAACAAGCATTTTGATCCTTTTTAGGTGTATATACACAGGAATATGAAGAATTCAGCTATGAAGATTGAACATGTAAAATTTTCCAGTGCAAATGAAACTCACTAAATCAAGGAACCAGCTGAATCCCAATAAGTCAGTGGAAAAACACTGGTAATGAAGTTTCATTACCACCTTCCATCTGTAAGGACTTTCTTCCAGTGTCAGACACTATTTCTTATTCCATTTTTGTTCTTCAGCTTGAGATTGATCAAACAGCTCTATTACTTGACACCATATAAGCCTATCAACACAATTGCTCTGGCACAAAGAAGTCTGTCCAACAGACTTCAAATTTTGTCAATTTTATGAGTCCAAAGGATGCTGAGGCAAGGCAATAGCCCAGTCCACTTTAGATCCAGCGATGGAAACAGCCCCTTTCTTAAGTGACCTCGTGCACAGTGCATTTTGCCTGAAGCCTCATGACCAAGACAAGCCATTATGCTTCTGTCCTTCCTTGCGTGCATTTGTTATTTTTGCCTAAAGGATGAGAATAATTCAGTATTTACTGAACTAACCTACAATAATTTGACTCCTCAACACTAGTTTCAACAACAGATCATTTAGTATATTTTCCTCATACAGTAAAGTTTCAGCTAAGTATGCTTTTACAAACAGTACAGTCCTTTTCTAACTGTACTTCCTTTGAATCAACTGCACTTTCTTCTCTGGCTTCACTTCTAAGCAAGAGCTAAATGAGAAGAGTGACTGAAAAACTCACAAGTCTGAAGTTTTTTTACATATATCCAAGTGTTGTCATTGCAGACCATTTGGAAAATCATGACAATAAATGGAGCTCTTTATTTTGAAATCAGACCACAGGCTTCTCTGCATAGAATTGGGAGCTTAACTGTAGGTATCCATATTTTATTGGGTCTCCAATAAATTTGTTGCTAGGGTTTAAATCAAAGTATTTGCACTGAAGACAACTAGAGAAACAGTATTCCTTAAAAGTGATCAGAACTTGCAGTAAGTTGCAACAGGATTAATGAACTTGCCAATGTGGTCTGCAGAAAAAAAGGTTGGTACATTAAGAAGAAATACAAGTGTCCAAGGCACACTGAGTGAAGGCAGCAAAGTGGCAACCTTATGCTATTTTAAAATACAGTCTGAATTTCTTCTGAGAATCCCAGCCCTGGAAGAAAAATGTATCCACATGACAGTTTTCCTTCCTACTCATTCCTCAGCTTAAAACAGCTTGTTTGAATAACTGCATGGGAGCTGATCTTTTCGAGTTGCCTCTAGAGTCCAGTTAATCACAAGCTCCACGAAGCAGGCTCTTGTTCTGACACAATGACTCATGATACAAGGGTGGTCTGAATCCCCAGCGTGTATCTTCTGATCATAGTTTAACCAAAGCTGGATTTCTGTCCCTCCAGAGCTCAGCCTCTCTGACGGACACTCAAACAACCAACCCACTATATCCAAACACAAACATTCTGCCTGAAAGCTTCCCTTGAACAACAGGATTTTGTTCCAACCACTAAAGAATGTGCACAAGGCTATGTAGCGTGCGGCCTCCCAAAGGATGTGATCTTTCTCAGAGCTCAAGGAACCCTGGACTAACCACATCCCTTCCATCTGAAAGAATAAATGAGCTAACAGAAACTCAGCATTATTCATTACAAACTTTTGTTTAAGTAGCAATCCAAGGTTGACAATCACTTTCAAAACCTTAGCTGAATTTGCCCCACTCTAACACTGAAAAAAAATAGAGGCTTTTTCCTCATATTATCGTTATTGCAAAACCCAATTTTCCATTTAAGTCCCACTGGAGCTAGTATCTGAAATCCTACATAGAATTTTGGTCTTTTTGACTTTGATCTAATCCTGCTGGATTTCAGTACTCTTCTCCCACCTGACCTGAAAATCCCATGTCCCACAACTTTTCCCCTCTCTTTTTACTGAGCTCATCACTTACCATGAAACTGTGAAACTATTGGAGGAGTGTCTTCATCTAAGTCATCAACTCCCCCTGCAATTGGGTAGGGAGGAATGGAAACTCGAGGCATAACTACCCAGCTGTGATCAGAGTAGAGAGAGGAGGTCAAGCTTGGAAGCCCAGAATTGTGTGCGATTTGAAACCCACAAATCTTCTCAATCTGTTGCCATCGATAAAGACGCTCCCGCAAACATGTCGTCAACTCAGAAAGTGCTTTCCTGAAGAAAAGCACATATTAAAATTACATACACTGTGCTTACTGATAAAGCAAAGCAACACATTCATTCCAGCATACAAGAAGATCCATTACAGCTGTTAAAATATTCACATTTTAGTATTTTTTAAATTGCTTTTCTAAAGGGCAAAACCACTAAGACACTCAATTCCATAACTCTCCAGGAATTCTGTTGTGGGAGCAAATAATCCCAAAAGAATATGCATCCTGTCCCAGTAACCCTCTTACTTTGCTTCAAGAATTTTATGGTCCACTTCATCCAGGGAGGAGCTGTGTGCAACATGTAATGTTCCAAATACAGTGCTTCTCTTCTTTTTTATCTTTTCTGCCTAAAAAACAAGGTAAAGTGAAATGCATAAAACTAGTAGCATACTTAACAAATGACAAAACATTAGCAATATTGACAGGTAGCAAACAACAATTCAGAGACGAAAAAAGCACAAGTGTTTATCTGCTTTGTGTTTACTATTTCATATCTCTAGCAACAGATCAGAAAAATATTTAAGTAGCTGAAGAATAATTTATTACCTCATCTTTAGCAATTGCTAATTGCATTTCTGCATGCTGTCTTTTGATATTGTAATATTGTACTTCAACTTCATGCGTTAACTGAAGCCACTTCTGCAAAGCTTCAGGAACAGACCAATTACTTCTCAACTCAAACTCCTTCTCAGCCTTTTTTAAAGCCATACGAACCTAGCAATCGAAAAGAAATGAAAGTGTCACCGAAAGTATCATTAGAACTAACAGGTGAATTATAAGCACCTTTATAGCCCACAGCAACATAGCAAAGCTTTACAGAGTTTTGGTGTGTGCTGATTGTTGTCAGGTATGCAGATCTGGCAGCTCTGAAATATAGCATATGACTTTCCATAATTTTTCCAATGCTATATAGTTCCTAATTCAAAGTTTAAATATTTTTGTACGATGATAATTTTTTTAGCACAATAAATCCAAATTTATTGCTGCTCAGATGAAACAAAGCTACTCTCTCTTCTAATAACAAGATAAAAAAAGCTTTTGTATATATTTTTTCAGTGACTCTCAAAATATTATGAGAAGCTAATATACAAAGATTACAGCTTCTAATAGTTTCAGGATTATTTTACTAGATAATGGCATGACTGACAGACAATCATTAAGCACTCTCAGAATTTTTCCATTCAAATCCAGCATTTAGGATATGCTGTTTTAAACACTACTGAGGATCTAACAAAACTAGGACCAATTTAAAGTTAACACTAAATTTATAAACAGCTGGCAGATACCTGTACTAACTCTTCCTCTGCATATTTGAGCCTGCTGAGCTCACATTCAGCTCCCTCTCTCAATTCCCTGAGGCGATGAGCTTCACGTTTTGCATCATTGATCTCATCCATCATTTTGCGCTCCAGATTTTGCTTTTCAACAGCAACGTTTCTATTCTCTTCTTGTGCCTTCTCAAGCCTTCACAATTGAACAAAAAATATGAGAAAATACACAGCATATTTGTTACAAGTTGTAGTCCTCAGGATAACAAAATGCATCCAGCAACAGGGCAATGGGCACAAACCAAAGCACATGAGGTTCCGTCTGAACATCAGGAAACACTTTCACCATGAGAGTGACTGAACAGTGGCACAGGTTGCCCAGAGAGGTGGTAGAGTCTCCATCCTTGGACATATTCAGAAGCCACCTGCACATGGTCCTAGGCAACCTGCTCTAGATGATCCTGCTTGAGCAGGAGGGGCTGGACAAGTTGAACTCCAGAAGTCTCTTCCAACCTCAACCACTCTGTGATAATAAACACTCTGCAAGCTTCATGAATCAGCAGCAATTACACCACACAACGTGATATCCAGGCCAGGCAAAATACCCAAACTTTTAAGCGAACTCTCATTAAAAGTGTAATATCAAAATACAAGTCTCTATAGACAACTGTGTTACAGGTGCACCACAGACTATTGACTTTCACATTGCTTTATATGCAATAGAAACTAATCGGCTCAGGTCTGTTTCAATCTTAAAAGCTTAAAAAGAGAAAGTGTTCTCATTTCCATGTATGTAACTATTTAAAATAAACTGTAATTCTATGAAAAGAACAATAAATACTTCTAATCTGTAGGAAAAAAAGAATCTGCCTCTATTCTCTATCTTCATCCACAACTTTGTATTGCCTGCTAAAATATCCAGGAGCAATCTCTACCCAAGAAATCAGCACCACTGAAATCACAAGTTCCATGCAAAGGGAAGATGAACAAAATCCAAAGGCAGTTAATGCAAAAAACTTAAGACTGTAAAGGATCTGCATTTGTGTTTAGCTTCAAAACAAAAGGACAACTTCTCTCTTTTTTTTTTCTTTTAGGTTTTATACCTTTCCTGCAAGTCAAGAAGACTTTGCTCTGCTGTTTGGAGACTTTCTAAGTCCTTCATCATTTTTGTGATATGTTCTCTTGAGGTTCTGTTCTGTGTATATGCAAACCAGCAGCCTCCAAAACCAATAACTATAGAAACTGTTAATATAAAATCCTTCATCCAGTTGTGAGGGGGACCTGTGCAGAGAACAACAACATCATTAACTACTTCATCGATACACACAACAGACTAAGGCCTTCCCCTCCACTCCCCAGGCTAAAAGTTGACAGACAGAACCTGATGCTAAACAGAATTCTAGCTCATTTACCTCAAACCACCCCCAAGAACTACCTTTCAAATGTATTCCACAGCATTTTTCCATAAAATATAAGCAGCTTTGCTCTAATACAATTTACTTAATCTATACTAAAATATTCATTCAACTGAGAAAAGCTTACTAAACCCCTTTACAGTACATTCTCTGCATCTTTATTTAGAGTGAAAATAGAGTTCTACAACTGTACTGCATCAGGTCAGTAGGAGGTGTAATTAGATTTCAGCAAGTTCTCTCCAGTCTGCACCCACTTAAATACGCTATGTGGAGTTAAAATTGCACTCGGGAAAAATAAAGTACATTTTTAAATGGTAACAGCAGCACTTTTAAAAAGTACAAGTTGGATTGTCTAATTATCATATCCAAGACTCACATAACACATCTTTGTTAGTACAACTTTTATAATCACTTGCACCTCTGTAGAGACAGTTTCTGTGAGCATTAAAGGTCTAATACAAAGTGGTTTTTTTGTCCCCTAAAATCGCCACTCAGATCTGGCCTGACTAGTTCAGGAGCACCTGACATGCACAGTGCCAGAGCAGAGCTGCAACTGTGTGCAAGCAAGCATGCAGAGCACTGCTGATGTGGTATGGACATGGCTGCATATGCTAAAATGGGTCAGACGTGGAACTCCTGCCTTAAATTTAACTGCACTCAAACTCAAGTATGCACAAAAGACACAGGTGTTGGATTTGCATCACCATCTCATTTTTTTTTCTTGGGGTAGGTCATCCCCTCTCATTTCAGCATCCCAGCTGCACTGTCCAAGCTAACTGAGAAATGAATGTAACCTTTGCTATAAATGTAATTTAAACAGTCAAAAATATTTAGAGGACACTTCTTGTGACACAAACGCCAACATCCATCTAAGTGGGGTTACACTAAAATTTCTACATGATCTTACACACAGAAGTGAACCTTTGTTCTGCTCACAGCACCTAAATAACTATTTTTAATTCACTGCAGAGTTCCACAACACATGCCAAGTAATCCATCAGCACATCCACAAAATAGATAAGCTGTCCTATCTACAGTATCAAGTGTCATGGAAAATATGCTCTGTTGAATTCCTACAATCAAGAGATAAGAAAAAAACTCCAAAAAGTTACTAACGAGTGAGAGGTCCAAATAAAACAACATCCAAGGCTTTAAGCTGAAGCTTCTGTCTATGACTCCGGTCAATTATTTTCAAGTGAGAGATCATGAAAGCATGTTCATTTACTGCTATCCTGTTAATGACAAGACAAAACGTTACCTATTCTATAAGCTATATTCAAAATCAGTCTATGCAAAAAAAAAAAAAAAAAAAGACATCAACAGCATTTCCCACAGTTATATAGATTACAACTATGCAATTAAGAATGAGAAATACAATATAGCAGTAATGATATATAAATGCATATCTGCCTGTGGCAAAAGAAGAAAACAAAATCATTTACTTATTCTTTTCTTTCTGGAAAAAAATCATTAAATAAATCCATTTAGCACAGTTAAAGGTATATTTACAGACTTCTGACACCAACTCCTGAATACACGCAATACTCAGGTGTGGTATTTATGCTCCAGGAAGGTATTTTACAGTTATGTTGTTGTATATACTCATACAATAGACAAGAAGATGTTCAAAAGGAAGTTTGCTACCACACAGAATTATGTGACCTTTGATAAGGTCCACAGAAAGAAATAAAACTTTTAGTAAAGTTGTATTTTGAAATATTCTGGCAGAAAAAAAAAAAATGCAGCCACCTCTTCAAAAGTGCAAGGACACTTCTCTTTTCCTGCATTTGACTGTATCTTGCTAGACTTTAGGTTCACATAGTTGTTCCTACCATTTAAACTAATGCAACAACCTATGGGGAATTATTTGAAACTAATCCAGAAGATATATTCACCTGGGAAGTGTCGTTCCATTGACATTGCTGTCTCTAAAATTCTTTTCATATTGGGGCAATTCAACAAAATCTGAAAGCCACTGAAGAGTGTCCTCTTGAGTCCAGTTATGAACTGAAAGAAAAATTCAATTAACTCAGGTTTTCAGTAAAAATCAAAAGCTTAGAAGACAAGCAGTAGAAAAGCAGGTTACAGTAACCAAGAGAGTTTAGACAAATATAATTCCAGAAAAATTAGCATTACCATGGTGTTTCTGGCATTTTGCCTTTTTCATTACATGCTCCCCAGTGAAAGCTTAGGCAAACTATAAATATACAAGCATGGAACCAACAGAAGTATTTCTTTACTACAACTTTCACAGAACAATTGAGTCTTTTGCTTTAGTTTAAATCAGGACAGCATCTTGTGAGTTTCATCTACTTAAACCAAGTCCAGCCTCAACCCCTTTGTCCTCACTACCCTTGCAGAGCTAAACACACATCAGCTGGCGCTGTAACCATTTGAGGCAATGTACCAAGATCTTCCCCAGGATGATGCCTTAAGAACTTGTTTTGACAAGAATTTTCTTAGAGGCTTATGCCTTCTAACCACAAAATGGGAGCTGACAAGAGAAGGAGAGAGGAGACTGAAAGAAAACACCAAAAGACAGAAGAAAATTAACAGGAAAACTATTAAATCTCTCCCAAACATGCCCAAGAAAAGTGGAATAGCATGCAAAATACTCTTAAGAAAAATTACTTAAAATATGTAGAAAATAATTCACAATTTTCTTTAATAACAGCAACACTCTACATAAAATAGCTACAGATGTGCTAAGAAAATACTACCTACAGATATTACCAAAAAAAAAAAAAATCACATTTCTCTCTCTTACAGAGCAGCTGCTGCAGTTTACAGCTTCACACTGACAAAATTGAAGGGAAATTGTTCACTCCATTTATGAGTCTGCAAAAGTCTGTCTGTATATGAAAGAAACAGGGACAGCCTCCTTCTGGACAGACATGTATTCACATGAAAAACTGGGGTATTTTTTGAAAATTTCTCTATCTAGAACTACTTGCATGTGACACTGCTGGGCAGAGATTATCACTAGGACACATTCTCAGAGGGGACTTTTGACAATAATCCTTTAGAAAGCACTGCTGAAAGCTTGGCAGGTAAAGCTGCAGGCAATGGAAATTTTTATGACTTCAAATTCATATTTCAGTTCACACTGTAGCTGAAATAAGGACTTCTAGGTCTCTTGTCTACACTAGCACAGCTGCAAAATAAGCTTAAACATTTTAAGATTATTATCATTCCTGATAAACGGAAGCAGAACACATTTCAAAGACTCACAGCTTCAAGAAACAAACTCAGTACAAACCTCTTGTTATCTGTCCATATGAATGACTACACAACCTTCCCAGTATGCTGTCCCATTTCCTTCTCTCCTTGTAAGCTACAGTCAGGTATTGATTTCACACAGCCTCAGTTTTGTTATATTACTCTAAGATTTTATGTAAAATATCTGGGCTCTATTTTAAACAGGTAGTTTTCCCACTGCAAAGATTCTTCTGTTTTGTGAATTATAGCAATCAGATTTACAAATCATTCAAAGCCATTTAACTGGTCATTACAAGTCTCAAAAGAGTGGTAAAATCATGCAGAAAAATATCACCTGAACTGCATTCTAAAAATGTGTTCATAGACTGATCCAAACTAAAAGCATTGTTTTGTTGTGACATGAGGAAAAAACACCTAAAATAGCTACTGCACACTACAGGCTATCATTGACAGTACAGAACACTCAATTTCAGAAGCCACACAATTCACTAACTTAAGTTGGGGGGAAGGGTTAAAAATACCATTGAGACTTTTCACTTCTACTACTGAAAGAATTTTGTAGACACTCTGCCAAATTTTACATAAATTTACAGGTCTCTATAATCCAGTGGTAATATTAAACATATTATCCTGAAAGAAATGAGGTACACATTTAAGTGGTTTACCATAGAGCAAATCACATCTGTTGCACTGCTTAAACTGGTGTGATGCTTTCTTCATAGACTATCAATGAAATTTTCCCAAACAAATAAGTTATATTCTGGAAAAAAGCACTTTGTTATTCATTACCTATCACTATATCAGATACCTCCATTAGTACAGAAACTGCAAAAAGGAGCAACCACAGTCTATCCTAAACCAGAAGTGAAACTTGTACATTCTGTACTCTTATACTGTTACCCATTTATTAAAAAATAATATCAAATTACTTTTTTATTTATGTTGTGTCCCTTTAACTGACCACTCAACCATTTAAGTTATGAATATATACTGTCATCTCTTATTCTGGGATGTCAAGATCTGAACCTCTTTTCACATAGATATTTTGCAAGAAATTTAGATTTATTATGTAAACTAATTCTTCACTCACAGAAGTCCAATGCCAGTGCCCCCAAATACTCAAGTTTTGCAGGAAGACTCAGACTCTAAACTACACTGTTCTTCCTTTCCTATTCTATCAATCAGTAAAAACATTCAGACTTCTTTTTTTTGTTGGTAACTTCCACAGACCATATGTTGGTATGGGGTATTACTTGACTTGTCTCCACTCATGACATACATACATATTTGCTCTGCAACAGCATAAAGTACTGAAAAGCAAACTGGCCTTTCTCCACAAGGAGCACTGAAACATGACACAAGGCAAGTGTGATATACACCAGGACCAGGTGTATTGAAGGGCAAGCAGGGACAGCTGAAATTCATCTTGATCAGCACGGCCAATTAGAATGTGCTAACTCACACTAATTAGCTGAGGTTGTAATTTTTCCTTAGTTTAATCACCAAAAAAGAAAGCAGTACCTCAATTACTGTAAGTTAAATGCATACAGCATTACAGAGTAATTATAACATCCTTCTCTCACACACCTCTTTTTACAAAGAGATAGCTTCAGAGAGAGGATGTCAGCAACGTGCCTTGGGCAGGCAGGTATAGAAGGCAGTGTCCACACCCCAGAGCAGTTCTCAGTCTCTAGACCTCCATCAGCTATTTTATTCAGACCACAGGTTTGAGTTTTGGGGTTTTTTTCCTACTTCTTTTCAACTGTTCCACCAACATATCTGAAGGTGAAAAGAAGCTTTAAACTGGCCCTGCATGAAAGTTTTTCATTGTTAACCCACAGTAATTAGAAGATCAGGCTATTTACCAAGGGTTTTTTTGTGTTAAATTTATCATATCACACAAAAGGATGCAAAACTTAGTTTTTAGGACCTTCAGCAGGAACATCAACAGTATGCAGCATTATGTAACTCATCCTTAGCCAAGCCCTGCTTGCATTCATTTCCAACTTCCAGATATTTAAAACCTGAGACAGCAAATTATTAGAGAGCAAGACAACCACAACATGTTTGTGGTATGCACTTTAGTCCCAGTTGCTGCAAGAACACTTGGCAGTAGTACATCAGAATACAACAGGTGATCACACATGCAAATACAGAGCCATTTTTGTATCTTTGTACCCTAATAAATAATGTACCAGACTTTAGTTCACCTCCTATTTTCCACAAAGAGGGAAAGAGAATTAAAGGGGAAAAAAAGAGGTACACATAGAAGGCAAGAAGGCTTTTGGTATTATAGGGTAGGGCAGTCAATAGGAGATTAAAGGAGATACATTAAAGCTCAAATATGCCATAATGGTAAAAAAAAAACCCTACTTTTTTGGTTTTTAAGGCTGTCTGTAACAACTAGGTTTTGGTAGGATTCAAATAATCTGACAACAGCCAAGCATTCATGAACACCAGGTTTGACTTCAACAGTTTTTATGTGGCTACAAAATCAGGTCCCAAGGGACAATGCTACATCACTAAGAATGCAGCATCCAGCCCTACTCACTGAGACTGAGGTCAGAGAACCAAACAGCTGAAGGCTCTGCACTGATTTTACAGCCCCCCTGCTACTGAGGCTAAATACCTGCTCTTCAGACAGGAAATTCACACGACCACAGCCAATTACAGGGGCAAAGACAGAAGGCAGGTGCCACTCTGTGAGAGAACTTCCAAATACAATTGTACAAAGACTGGTATTCAGACATCAAACCAAATGTTCATCTGTCCCCTTTTCCACACCCAAAACTACTACCTCTTCAAGGCCCTTGCAGAAAAAACATTGAAGATGCACCTCTGATATTAACCTAACAGTAGCTACTGAGTTTGTTACTTGTGAACAGCTGAAAGGCTCTGTAGTACACGTATAAATACTGCTTAGTTAGAGGAGGAGACGGTCAAAGAATACCACGCAACAAGCATATACTGGCATTTACATTTAAAGAACAGTAACACACAGTAACAGAAGTCAGAAGACTTTCAGAGAGAAGTGTTTTCTACATTTTAAACAGCTATGATAGCTCACAGTCACCCATCTAAATAGGGCACTCTGTAGAATTAGATTATGAGATTCAAAAAATTCAAAGGTCACAAAAAGCACATTCTAACTAAACTACATTAAATTATAGTCTTGTTTTGTACCAAAGGAGTCTTTTAAACTGAGTGGCAACACAGCAACAATAGGCTAGATGCTGATTCAAACTATGATATGACTCCTGCCATGCAGGTAAAACCTGTAACAGCCTTGAACTTCCTTTGACTTGCACCAGCCTAGACTATGCATTAAGGATTCTGCACCAGGCAAGGACATCAAAAACCTGCCCAGAGCCAGAATATTAAAAAGCAACATTCTGAAGCCCCCTCTTTTATTAGACGATTTTTAGAGCTCTGAATGCAGCCAACCCTCAGTGTTACATTCAGTGTATAAAATCCTTTTCAATCAATTATTTAAAAGTAACCTCTACTTTCCTTAATCCTAAACGGAGACATCAAACAGCAATGGCATTTTTTTTTGCTTTCTTTCCTCAGACCTTATCTATCTTGCACCACCAGTATGTTAAACAAAGAACACCTTTAAGCTATTTGACAAATATTTAAGATAAACATTCACATAAAGCAAGCTTTATGGCAAAGAATGGACAAATTCTACTCAGCATAAACTACGCAGCAGTAGATCCTGAAGATGTTTCTGTATATACTGTCAGGAGCACTAGAGTTTGCAATTCTCACACAGATACTCAACAGATTGTTTAAGAGTCTCAAATTACTGATACTATCATTTACACTACCTTCCATCCTCTTGTTTAATGTTGTCAAATTGCTATAAACTAGTGGCACATAAAAAACGAATAAATGAAAAATTCTTAAAACATACAGAAAGGAATGGCAACATTTTCCATGTTACCTAAAATCACATAAAGTAGTTAATTTTCTGAGGGGCTTCATGCTTTCTAACAGTCAGCAGACCACTGTTAACACTGCTCGAGTCTCATTCTAAAGGTCTCCCTCTGGTGCAATTTTAGTTCTCACAGCAGGATACACAAATAAAGCCACTATAAGCAGACACAATGAGATGAGACATTCCTCTCCAAGTCTTTTGAGTCTTACTCACTCATTACATTCAAGAGAACTGGAATAAAGATATACACAACAGAGACACTATACCTCTAGAATCACTATAGCCTAAATTTTTGAACAGTTACTCATGACTTAGACCTACAGTTTTGAGAAGATAATTTTTTCTGATCATTTAGTTGCAATACTTTCAGGGAACAGGATCTTCAGCAAATAAGTATTTAACGAATATTTAAAAAGATAAGGCCAAAAGTTACTGGTTAAATCAGATATTTACTACATTCCAAACACTTCATGCATTACCTCAGAGTGCACTTAAGTGACTTCCTGCATTAGCAGAATGAACCAATGCTACACTCCTGGTTTCATTCCCCTCCTGTTCTTACTTTCAGTTGTTTGACCCACACTAGGTTTCAGATCTCTCTGTGCTCACCATTAGAACATGTCATGGTTTAGGAATGGTATTCTCAAATTTAGCAGTCCTTTACAAAAAAAATGTGTGCAGTTTCCCCTCCCCCTCCAACTGGATGCACAAAGGGTAAAGATCCCAAGTTGAGATAGGAACAATTTACTGGAAGCAGCAATGAGATAAGAAAATGAACAATAACAGCAACAATACAATAACAAAAGGTATAAGAAAAATAAACTACTCACACGGAAATCCCCTGACAATAAACAAATACCAGATGGGTCCATTCCCCATGTTTCTCAACCAGAATGAACCTCTTCTCCCCAGCAGAGAGACACTCCCGTTCGGGCTCCCAGCAATGACGTGGGGGTGTAGGTGTAGGATAACACCCCATAGCCATAGCCATGCCCCCTCCTGACTGCTGCTGAAAATCAATCCTCTCCTGGCCACAGCCAGGACAGCACAACACCTTCGGAATGAGGGCTGAGGAAGTTAGGTATTTTTCTTCTAACAATTCTAACATTCCAGATCTCTTTTTTTAATCACTACATCCTGGGACACATTTGGCAATGAACACTGTACTGATTAAGTACTGTACTTTGATAGTTGCAATAGTTGGCTCAACTTACTTATTCCATTTAAATCAAAGTGAGGGAGGGCTGGCGGTGTTGGGTTATCAGTACATTTTACTGTACCCCAAGTTAAAGAAGATTTTTCAAAAATTCTTTGGACTAAGAATTCTAGATCTTTGTAGCTCAAATAAAATTTAAATCAAAGTGAAAGTGTATTTAATTTTCCACTTAATACTATATTAAAAAATTAAATAGCTTGAGAGAAACCCTTAGGGTATATTAAATTAAAAACATGCTAATCTGGAATTCAGCATTTGCACCAGTCACCTTGATAAATTAGAACCTCATCTAAGCTATCTTGGTTTACTTAGTTTACAATACACAAAGCACATGAAGAGGAAATTACCTCTAGCTGGACTAAATGAGTTCTTAGTCAGATTTATGTATGCCTATAAATAACAGCGTCAAAACAGATTGATGAAGATGCTTCAAGAGGTCATTCATTCACTACTCTATACTTGGTGGAAAAATTGTTGAATTATAACTATGTCATTTTCAGCTATACTCCTTTACCTACCTTCAGACGTTTTCCAGCGTTTCCACAGATCCTCAATGGTGATATGCTTGTCTTCTCTGTGCAGGTGACTATGTTTATTTGAGGCATCTTTGTACTGCATATCTTCCCTTAGAAACTGAAAAAAAAGGGAAAAATATCATCTTAAATGCCTAAATGACAATTTCTGAAGACAAGCTATACAGAAATCAGGTAGAGTCTTTCCCATCTCTTCCCCACGCAGCAGCAGAGAATTGATCTGAGTTTTTTACATCAGACTCAGAAAGTAAGTTAAACACTCTTACAAGATTTTTCACAATTATGAAATCCTAGAAATTGACGATGCAGTTGCCACTGTACTGAGTTCAACATTATTAGTATGCCTCAGTGATTACAGGAACACACCACACAGTCACACTGTGCACTTCTCTATTCTGATGACATTTAACCAACTTCCCCTCCTTGAAAATAAGGCCATGTAAGATTTGAAAGTGTGCCAGTCATTTTTGGATGAGTAATGCCTGAATCCTGCCACGCCAGTTAAATGCAACTGCCTGAGGGATGAGAGTAAGCTGTTTACTAAGTAGTATTAAAGTCTTTTGATTAGACAACAAAAATTTGACTTCTATTCATCAAATTAAAAAACAGAAGTCATCTGAGGGCCAATTTTCTGCTTGCTAATCATTCCTCAGTGGTTACACTCCAAGCACAGAAGCATTACATAAAGCTGCTTCATTTTCAGTAATTAATAGGAAGCCTTTTAGCAAACATTATAAAAAGAAATATCATGCAATCATGACATACAGAGTGGGTGGTGAGGCACTGGCACATGTTGTGCAGAGAAGCTGTAAATGCCCTATCCCTGGCAGCATTCAAGGCCAGGTTGGATTGGGCTCTGAGCAATCTGATCTAGTGCAAGATGTCCCTGCCTACAACAGGGAAGTTGGAATCAAATGATCTTTAAGGTCTCTTCCAACCCAAACCATTCCATGATTCTATGACACAATTATATAATGGCAGTGTTGTATCAGTATTCCACAAGTTGCTACAAACAGTTCTCCAAATACATAACCAAGAAAAGTCATGGAACTGCAAAATTCATTCAATTTTTTTCTTTCATAAAGGCCTAGAAAAGCTGGAATCTGGTTGGTAAATAACCTCCTATTAACAGTGAAAACCCTTCGTAAGTATCGGTCCCTGAAAGCATTGTATGAACAGTCTCTTTGGGTGAAGACCTTGGGACTAGTATCAGAAAACTAGTACCTGGTACTAACAGTACCAGAAAACCAAGTAATCTTCCACAGTAGATGGCTTGCTTTCTTCAGTTCATGAAGGATAAAGCTGCTCAAACAAAACCAGCTACAGATAGTCATGACAGCCAAGTCACTAAGCAGCCTTTTATACAGCTGATCATACGTCATCACCACTTCAAGAGAGGCGAGGAAGAAAGCCACGCTAGCGATGCACTGCAGAAGAACTCAATTCTTAAAATTCAGTCCAGGTAATAATTCAAGTGCAGAGCATCCCGCAAAGGCTCCATCTATAACAAAGGCTCCATTGCTAACAGACCTAGAGATTATACCATTCAGAAACTGCAGGAGACACTGAAAAGTAGCCAACGTTAAACAATAATATTATTGATAAACAATAATATAAACAATAACAATAATATTAACTCTTAATAAAAAGAAACAGCATACAATAGCAGAAATATGCAAGCAAAAGCTAACACTTACCAATCCTCCCTAACTAAAATATTTTTACTAGAATGTGAGGGAATCTCAGACTGTGAATGGATTCAAGTTTCTCCCCTAACTGATGGACTTGGGACAACATACTAGCTTGCCCTCCTTAACCAAACCACAGAGCCATAGTATTGAAACACTGATGGGATGTAAATCCTCTCGTCTTTATCTATTACTTTAAAACTTTTTCTCATTGTCAGACATTAGTTTTGTAAAGTCTTTTGATTCCTAGAATAGCTCTGTTTAGCCCATATAAATGCATAAGCATTTTTAACTCCTCTTCCCCATGAGTGTAAGAATGGCATAAATTGAGATATATAAATATATATACGCACACACATGCATATACATGAGAAATATATGAGAAACTTACGAAATATATGAGAACTGAAAACAGCAGCTTGATGGGGTTAAGGCAATTACAGAACTTCTGAAAAACCATGGATCAGCAACAGCAAAAAGGTTTAATAAGCACAGAACTGTATGCTGTAACTGTATGCAAATGTAAAAGTATCTGTTGCATATTCCATCATCCAAGTGGGAACTCTGAATACTTCCCATATTGGCAATGCTACCATGAAGCTGCCAAATTCTACAATTGTCACGCAACATGTAATGAAAGATGGATTGTCTTGTTCACTCCCACTCCATGTTTAATAAAGGCTAAACTGAAGAGCAGGAACTAGACAAAAAGAAAACAAACAAAATAATTTTCTTATCCACTAATGTCCCGAAACCTTTCCAGATTATATAGTAGAGTCTTACAGGTGAAACAGCAGGAAAGAACTGATGCTTTCCCACCTTACCTTTTCCCTCCAGACTGCAAGTATCTGCTGTCAACTGACATCCCCAGAATATCTTTCAGGAGCTTGCAAAAAACATACTAAAAATACAGCAAAAACATATAATATATGTCCCTCTCTGTAAAGATTATCTCTTTTCACATGGGGGTTACAGTAATGCTAGTGTTCACTCTTCAGCTTTCTATTGACTCATGATGTACCATCCTTGGAGACCCCAAATGTCAGGCGTGGACATTTTTTTCAAAACAAGTGTTGTAGGGTGATCAAATTGCTGAAGAGGGACAGAATATGTTGTATATACAGGCTTGTGCCAATTTTGAGATTTCTCAACTAAAACTCAGATCACTTTTGTTTGTACACACTTGCTACCTTTACTGATAGTTGTCAGTAAAGGCTGTAAAATATCGAAGGATGAGAATTTTTGTTCAGTTACACGTGCTGTCAAGGAAAATCTGAACTGCTGTTAACAGCAGTACTCAATTGTTAGAAGCAAAGAAGAGAAGGAAGATGCCGAAGTGTTCCAGCTCTGCCCATCCCACCGTGAGCAGGCTCTGCAGGATCGCATCCCGAGCCAGCGGCGGACGCAGCGCGGCACCCCCGGCACGCGGCTCCGCCTGCAGTTCCGCCGCGCCGCCCGCAGAGGGCGCCGCCAGCAGCCGCACGGGAAGCGCGGATCCGAGCGCGCTGCCCAGGATTTCCCGGGACAGGGAAGGGCGGAGCGCACCTGGCGCCCACCGGGACACCCACTGGAGTATCTGACTACGTCCCTCTTCCAAAACGGACGTCAACACAAACTGGAAAGCAGCTTGCAGTTAGTAACCAGCTCAGGGGCAGAGATAGTACATCTGTGAGAACTACTTCCAACTGTTCAAAAGCCCCTCTTCTGTTCTGTCCTACCCGTACTGCTCCCAGATCCTTAGAAAATAGCCACGATGACTTCCTTAAAGAGGTCCTCTGACACCACAAGGTCACAACACTACAGTTACAGTGCACGTATCTGGAAGGAGGTCACCGTGTTTCAAAGAGTAAGTGCATTCCCTAACAAAGAGGTATCTAACAACATCAAATATCTTTCTTTTGTATAAAAGATGTTTGTTTCAAAAGTGGCCTAATATGGAAGTGCTTCTTTAAGAAAAAGAACTTGGACCTAAATTGAAGAAAGACAAAAACAGAACACCTCTAGTTAAAAAGAGGATTTTTCTGTTCCTTGTCATGGCAGCTAATCTCTCTTCTGTTGCCCTGGTCATTAAGTATACAAAGAAAGGGTTAGAAAAATAACTCTAAATAGGGAGGTTAAAGGAATAAGCTCTAAGAAAAACATATCTAAGTATTATCTTAGCCGACATAATTACTCAGGAAGGAGAAGTCCTTTTAAGACTACAAAGTTGAAACCAAGAAAGCAGAAGATAAGTTGCCTAAAAAACTCTGTATGAAACAAAAATAATCATTTGTCAAAGCAGTTACTTCAAAAACAAGTACAGAATCAAAAAAACACCACACCTAGACTTGAAACTAGAGTTTTGATCCCAAAGTACTATAGCAGCGAAAGAAAGAAAGAAAGAAAGAAAGAAAGAAAGAAAGAAAGAAAGAAAGAAAGAAAGAAAGAAAGAAAGAAAGAAAGAAAGAAAGAAAGAAAGAGAAATAAAAAACCTTAAAATTTTGATGCTGCAAGACATGACTGCAGAGCAAACAAGCAATTGCATTCTTTCAAGAATGCCACAGAAAAGTAAAATTAACCACACTCACTAACAGCAGCAGGAACCACTCTCACGATGTTTCTATTTTGTTCTGGGTGAAGGCTCAAGTTTATGATTTTCAGTTTCATCAACTTAAAATAGACCCTCTAACTGACAAGTTTACTTTAAGAGCAATTAGTAACATCTCCTGGCCAGGTATTACTCTCACCCTTGAGCATCTATTCCTCAAACAGTGTTATGTCCTTCAGGTTTACTCCTTCAAAGGGAAAACCAGCAGAAGTTACAACTTCAGCCTTTTAGTACATTTCCTCACATCTATTTGCTGCAAGATTTGGTGCAGCTATTGCAATGTCACACCTACTGACTAAACTATGATGGCAGATGCGCTTTTAAAAGGCAACAACACTATGTTTCAGGTATGACTGCCTACCCTACCGAAATGGCTTCTAAAGAGGCTATAAAGTAAAATAAGAAAATCTATTTAATAATATTAATAATTAATAATAAAACATGACTAGAACAATGTAGGATACAGCCAGGAAAGTGTTATCAAGTACATCTTAAATAACCTACACATTCTATTGAAAAAAGTTACTGCAGCTCAAAACAAAACTGTAGCTATGTACTGCAAAGTAAACTCTGCAAAGCCAAGACAGAATTTCCAAGGGATCACTTCATTGTAGCAGGACTAAATAAAGAGGTGCAGACAGCTTCATATTAGCTTCAGCACGTCCAAGGAGGCAAGGCGAGAGGTAGGTGTAGTCCAAACCCCGCTGGAACAGGTTTCTGTGCAACTGTACCCACAATAACACGTGCTGCCTCTCCAGAAGGCTTCTTTGCACAGGCACAGCTGTCAACTAACACCATCCATGTTTTCACACAAGACCTGGCTCC